CCACCATCATAACATAATCACCACCATCACTCCATCACCACCACACCTTCACCACCACTACCAAGTCACTGTTACCACCACCGTGGCATCCACCATCACTACCAAGTCACTGTTACCACCACCGTGGCATCATCACCACCATCACTCCATCACCACCACCATGGCATCATCATCACTATCACTCCATCACCACCATCATGGCATCATCACCACATCATCTCCACCACCATCACTCCATCATCCCCACCATGGCATCACCACCACCATGGCATCATCACCACCACCATCACACCTTCACCACCACCAAGTAACCGTTGCCACCACCACCACCGCGTCCCCGTGCCCACCACCCTCACCTGTGGCCCCCCGATGACAAATCTCCCGCTGGGCTGCAGGTGGTAGATGGTCTCATCATCCAAATACTTGGGGGGCACCACAGCCTTGATGACCTTCTCCTTGAGGGCATCGCGCATCTCATCCAGACACACCTCCTCGTCGTGCTGCACCGAGATGACGATGGTGTGGACCCGGATGGGGATCACCGCCCCGCGGTCCTGCATGTACTGCACGGTCACCTGGAGGAGAGGACACCCATCAGTGCCAACCCTGAGGTCTGGAAGGTCTTGAGGTGCCCCAAGAACCCCAAAAACCTCACCTGAGTCTTGGAGTCAGGACGCAACCAGGGCAAAGTGCCGTTGCGGCGCAGCTCGGCCAACTTGGCGTTGAGTTTGTGAGCCAAGACGATGGTGAGGGGCATGCACTCCTCGGTCTCGTCCGTGGCGTAGCCAAACATCAGCCCCTGTGGGCACAGGGACACTCAGGTCACCCCAGTGCCCACAGGGGTGGCACGATGCCCACAGGGACGAGGAAGCTCACCTGGTCACCGGCACCGATGTCCTCCTCGCTGCGGTCAAGGTGAACCCCCTGGGCGATGTCCGGGGATTGTTGCTCCAGGGCCACCAGGACATTGCAGGTTTTGTAGTCAAAGCCTGGTGGGATGAGCCATGGTGAGGTTGGGGCATCCTGAGTGGCATCACCATGGTGGGTGGTGCACCCCAAGTGCCCTCACCACACTGAT